TGGATTGGAAGAGATGCAAAGGGCTACTTGTCTTCCCCTTATTACCCTGTCTTACAAGAGGACACTTAAAGAATGCAGCTAGTTTAACCTAACAAAATAAAGGATGAGAAGGGAATATTATTATATATCAGTAGTAGACGCTTAAATGTCATAGAGGGAGATGAGCTAATTCAGCTGAAGGACTACATTGGCTCAAAAATAAAAGGGAATAACCTGACTTAGTTCTGTGTTTTAATAAGTGCCTTCCACTCCTATGATCCCAGAGTTCCCTTATGGCCTTTTAATATGGGTCCTTATAGTGCATATTCCTTAGAGGTGAATTGCTGTTTTGTTTCTCATGTGAAACATGTGGTAGCAGAAAATACTACTTTGGCCACAAGAGGCTAGCTGTTAACTTCAGAGTTGTTCCTTGAGTGATACCTGTGGTATAGGTAAGCTTTTGTTAGATGGCTGGAGTGCAGGAGTGTCTCCTGGAGGGGTTGTAAATGTGTTTTGGTTCCTCCTTCACCCATTCTTCTACTCTGGCCACAGCAGTGCCATAGCAACAAAGTTTGGTGCCTAGGTAAAGCCTACAGTGGCTGCCCGCCCTCACCTCTCGCACAGATCTGGGGGGCACATGTCCCCCCATTTTTGCCTGGGAGTACAGGGAGCTGCCCTTCCCCCATCCCCATGCCCCCACAAAATGAGCCACTCACGGCTCCATCCTGCGCCCTGCTCTGGCTGGGCAGTTTCTGTTGGCACCCCTTTGCTTCAGCGCCCAAGATGGTCGCCCCGCTTACCTCTCCACACTTTGCTACGTCACTGGGCTACAGTGAGTTGCATTGCAAGAGCCATTGCTAGATGTATCTGCCTTTAACTCCACCACTGTCTCTTAGTTGGATGCATGGCAGGAAGCACAAGACAGGAAGAGAGGGATTGTGTGGATACCCATTCTTTCCACAAAATAGACAAATCATTAGCCTAAGAACACTTCCCACCCCAGCAGCTCATCTGTCAAGAGGGTTGAAGGAGCTCCAGACTGCTGGAATGCCAGTGACAGTAGGTCACTCTCCTTCTCCTTCTCCTTCTGGGTGGTCCTTTAGGCTAGGGGTTGGTAACATTTCTGCAGTAGGGGGCCACTTTAGTGGAGCTTGACTGCTCAGGGGTGGCTTCCAACCCAGTCTGCGCTGCTGGAGCCAGAATATTCCCTTCCCTTGCACTTAAGCCAATTCTCCTTGCTGCCCAGCTGCTGCACAGGTAAAGTCTTCCACTGCTAAAATCCCTCAGCTCTGTAGCCCAGATAAAATAGCTCTGCAGGCTGGATCTGGCCCATGGGTTTTAGGTTGCCAACATCTGTTCTAGTATAATCCAAGTGAAGAACAGCCCCTGGTGGCTCAGAGAAGCAACTGCTGGACAGTTGCACAGCACTGACGCATCAGTGCCCAGCTAAACTGTGGTGAAACGTGGAAGTGTTGTTCAATACATGAATGAAGTGTCTGACACTTGGTAGCCCTGGCTGCCAAATCTAAGTGGTGCTGAGAGCTTGAGGGACTGGGGGATGTGCTGCCTGCCTGGAGCAAAAATTCAGGATATCACGGAGAGACTACCAAAGCTCATCCATCCTTTGGACCACTGTCTCTTTGTGCTTGTCCATGTAGGCACCAACAGGACTGTCAGGAATGACACTGAGCAGCTCGGAGGTGACTCTGAGGTGATTGGCAGGAGGATTAAGGAGCTTGGAGCACAAGTGGTGTTTTCATCATTTTTTTTTTCTTTGGAAGGCAAGAATTCAGGGAGAGATCATTGTATCCTGGAAGTGAATGCATGTCTGAGACAGTGGTGTCAATGTGAAGGCTTGGGCTTCTTCAGAAATGGGTGGATGTTCTTGGGAAGAGGACTGCTATCAAGAGATGGAATACAACTGATAAGAATGGAGAAGAGCATCTTTGGCCATTGTCAGACCAACCTAGTAAGGAGGGCTTTAAACTAGGTCCCATAGAGAATGGTGATCAAAACCCTCTAGCAACAGGGCACACAATTCAGAGGGGAAAGGACTCAAAGAAGCAATTTAACTCTGGGAAAGGGCCACAGATCTACAGGATTGCAACAACTGGTGCAAAAGGGAAGCAAGTAGGTCAAAATGCAAAATACATCCAATGCATGTGTACAGTTGTGAGAAGTATGGTTAATAAACAAGGTGAGCTGCAAGCTGAAGCCTGTGAAAAGAACTATGATCTGATTGGCATCACAAAGACCTGGTTTTACCAAGATGAGTCTACAGTGTGATGCAGACATACAAAAGGCAAATGCGGTTTTGGGATGCATCAATAGAAGTATTAGGTATAAGACACGTGAGGTGATAGCGCCTCTCTACTTGGCATTGGTTAGGCCTCATCTGGAGTACTGCATGCAGTTCTGGGTTCCACATTTTAAAAAGGATATGGAGAAGTTAGAGAGGATCTAGAGGCAGGCAACAAACATGATAAAAGACTTGGAAAGCAAGATGTATGAGGAAAAGCAGAAGCAGCTAGGCATGTTCAGCTTGCAGAAAAGGTGCTTAAGAGGGGACCTGGTAGCAGTCTTCAAATATTTGAAGGGCTGCCACAAAGCAGTGGGAAAGAATCTTTTTCCTCTTGTTCAAGAGAGGAGGATGTGGATCAATGGCTTGAAATTGCAGCAAAATCATTTAGATTGGATATCTGGAAAAACTTCTTCACTGTTAGAATAGTGAGGCAGTGGAATAGACTGCCTAGGGAAGTTGTGAACTCTTCATCACTGGAGATGTTGGACAGTCATTGGTTGAGGATGATCTAAGAATAGCTATACCTATTTTCTACTATGGGTATTCCCCATTCTTCTGGGCTTTGTTGGTTGACCGTGTCCACCTCTACCCCTCTTTTTGCTTTGTGTGTCAGGGTGCTTTTAAGCCTTCCTCAGAGACATTGGGTGTTGGTTACAGCCAAAGCTGGAGATTTTGATTGGGGTATTCCAGTGCTCCTACTGGGACCAAAGCTGGAAGTTCCTGGCTACCAGGCACCAAAGCTGGAGGGTCAGAGCAATTGCCGTATTTGGGGTCAGGAAGGAATTTTACCCCCTGGCCAGATTGATATGGACTGTGGGGTTTTTGCCTTTGTCTATAGCAGGAAGCATGGCCTTCTGTCCTATATCTCTTGGGCATACAAGGGGTGATCAAAAAGTTCTAAGACTTAGCCTTTATTTTAAAGAAGAGTGTACAAACAACATTTTTATGAGCTGTCCCCTTCAAAGTAATCTCCCCCAGATGATATGCACTTGTCCCAATGTCCCTGCCACTTTCGGAAGCAATGCTGGAAGTCTTCAACTGTGAGTTTTTTGAGTTCCGCTTTCACATTCTTATGGATGGTTGGAATGTCATCAAGTCTCCTTCCTTTCAGCTTCATTTTGATTTTTGGGAACAGAAAAAAATCACATGGGCAAGGTCAGGTGAATACGGAGGGTGTGGTATCACAGGAATGTTTTTTTCAGCCAAAAATTCTTGAATGGAAACAGCAGTGTGTGAAGGAGCATTGTCATGGTGCAGAAACCATCAACCATTTTCACACAGCTCACGGTGGTTTCTTTTAACTTTATCCCTCAATCGAATCAAAACCTCTTTATAAAAGGCCTGACTGATTGTTTGACCACTCGGTACAAATTTCTGATGAACAATACCCTGTACATCAAGTCTTAGAACTTTTTTATCAAACCACGTATATTGACAACATTTCATAGAAGCAGGACATTGGCTACTGTGGCTCTCCTGCTTTACCTGTGGCAGGTTAGGGTGTTAGGTCTGTGTTGATGGTTGTCTTATGTAGGGTTTAGATTATGGGTTGTATAGGATGGTTTGGAATGATCCTGCTTCAGGCAGGGAGTTGGATTAGATGACCTCTGGAGGCCTCTTCCAACCCAACTTCTCTATAATTCTATCTGAAAACTTGTCTAACTTTATCCCAGCTATACAGTTGATCCAATAAAGGATCTCGCCCAAAAAAATCCTTGCCTCTTGCATAAATATTTGTAGACCTCTGGAGCCCAAACTGCAGAAACCACCAGAACGACATTTCTCATTTCCATCATTGTCTTGAGTTTTGTATGGTAATAAAAAGGAATTGGCCTACATACAAATCAGCAATCCGTTAAACCACTTTACATATAAACTAAATGCAGAAGAAAGACCAAGTGAACCCAGTCACTGGCTGCTTCTAGAACTTTGCTTTTATGCCAACAATTAATGGTGCACACATACAGAGGGGCATAGATACGCTTTAGACAATTACAGGAATAATAATAGTTCATTAGAGTCTGATTTAGTGCTATGATTTGGACAGCTGTGGTGAGTGTGTGGGGGTGACAGGGAATGGTCTCTAGTGGGGATTAGATGAGCCGTGTCTGAGCAGTTTGAAGAGAACCAAAGCAATGCCACAGTCGTGCTCTGTTCCACCCTCCATACACAGCCTTCTCCTCAAGCACATCTTGTTAGTTACATTTAAAGTTTCTTACCATAACTCCATACATTAACATGCTGTACTGACCCTTACAAGGAAGCTGCAACAAACCAGCATCACATTTAATTCTGTGGTTGTCCTCACAGACAGCCGGGCACATGGCAGCGAATCAGCAGCACACAGCACTACTACACTACAGTTAGTACTAACTACACTATATAGGCATGCCCATACTGCGCGGTTATTTCCAGTTAGTGTGCTGTAACATAATTTACTGCGGAGTAAACGTGCACGTGTAGGTGCGCCCCCTGAGAGTTACTTGGGTTTTGCATAATCTGCGCCAATGAGCTGCCTCCAAAATGATTGCACAGTTTGAACACTTTCACTGGGATTGATCGGGCATCGTACACGGTTTGCCGTTATATTACAAATAGGACCATTCTCTGCAGTCGCAACACGGCGGGTCGGAGAGGGGAGGGCCTGGCCGGGCCCGGCCGCCTCCGCTCCGCTGCGCTGCGCTCTGAGCGAGGCGGATCCGGGCAGCTCGAACCGGACCTTGACCCACGGCTCCCCCTCGTTCCAGTGCAGCTTCCCCTTTATTTGCGCCCGCTTCAGCGATGCCCACCGAGCTCCCTGCCCGCCGCCCGAGCCCCTTTAAGGTGGGGAGGAGGTGGCTCGGTTGCTAGGGACGCGGAGGGGCGGGGCCTTTCCCGGAAGTGGGCGGGGCCGGGCACGGCATGGAGGCCGAGTTGGAGCTGGGCGAGGGCGCGCGCCGGGGGCCCCCCGCGGTGAGACCGGACTGACCCATTCCCCCTCCTGTGGCGGGGCGGCGCTGGCCCCTTCCGCTTGGCTGTGGCACGCGCCGGAGCGGCGTCCCGTGGCCGTGGCGGGGGCGCCTGGGTTTGCACAGGGCAGGCTGCGGGCTGGGCTGGGCGCGGGCCTCGGTGCCCTCCGCAGGTCCCTGCGGTCCTGCTTCTGCTGCTTGTGCCTCCCACTCCCGCCACCGGGACGTGGAAGAGGAACTGTCCCAGTCCCGACTCTTGTTTTGAATTGAACCCACATCCCGGGAGCAAGGCGAAGCATCCGCCTGGCCCTGTCCTTCGGGCCAAGCGTGGGTTCCAGCAGGGACTTGATTTGCCAGTGTTGCTCCCCGGGGCATCCTCTGTGCCAGCGCTTGCAGCCAGGCCTGTGATTCTGTTTGAGCTGAGGATGTTCCCTGGAGCAGGCTGGGCAGGTGGCCCTGGTAACTTGGCCCGAGGAGCAGCAGCTCTTTGCCTTTGATCACCATGTTTTACTGCATTTCTGTTGCTGTGGTGGCCACAGACACACATCAGTGTCAGGGCTTCATTGCATGGAGAGCGGCAGTCCGGGCATTGAATCACTGGCAGGCTAAGGTGACGCATGGAATATGGGGCAAGGCGGGGGGTGGATATGATTAAGTGGTACAGTTTTACAGTCCTGTTCAACACAGGCTCAAGTGTCTGCTCCCGTTGTGTGCACCTATTAACTTTTTATGGGCATTGTTGCAGAGTTAGATTTTTGAGTAGTGGCTTGAAGAAGGTTAGTGGTTTTGTGACTTGGCTCCAGGAGCGCGAGCCAGGCATATGGTGTGACATGGAAGGTGGCTGTGTGGGCGGTAGACAAAGGGGCACCTGTTGCTGGTATTTTGCTTGGTCTGTTTGGGCATCACTGCACTGGGTAAACATTGTAGCCGGGAAGCTTGTTTGTGTTTCCATGTTGGCAGTGTGGCAGAAAGCCACCTTGGTTTCTCCCCAAAAATCTCTGCCCTGTGACACTGTGATTTAAATCTCTGTGCTGTGACCATTCAGTTAGGATGGGCCCAGCACACAGGGGACCACACCCTCAGCCTGTCTCTTTAGGGAACTTGAGCTGGCTGCATTCCTGAGGGAGGGGGAAACCTGCTCCCTCTGCCTACGTGACTTGCATCACTTACCTGGGTAAGGGGTTTCTACCTGGGGAGCTGGAATCTGCCCGGTAACAGGTGATGCATTTCAGATTGGTTGGCTGACAGCCAACTGGGGCTGACCTCCGCTGGCCCAGGTGAATGAGGTCACAGGGGCTATATAAGTTAGGACGGGGAAGGAGGCGGTCGCTCCTCTCCGGCCATGAGGTGACGCAGCAGCCAGGCAGGGGACAGAGAAGCCTTAACATCTGAAACTGGCTCTCTCCCCCCAAACTCACGAGCTAGGAACCGCCTGCCTCCAAAGGGAAACTTCACCTGCCTTTGGAAGATGCTTGTGAGTAAGCTACTCAATCTGATTAGATATTTAGCTGGAAGTATCACAGATGCGTAATCAAAAGGCTACCACAGCCAGACTGTTTGCTCTTTAGGATTTCTAGATATTGCTCTATCCTGTACCCTAGTTTACCCTACCCCCTGTAATCAATAAAGTTCTCCTTTTTGACTGGTGTGGGAGACTTATTGAGGGGTGGGTCTAAATTATGCCTAAGAGACCCCTTAGGTCTGTGGACTAAGGGAGACTATACCTTTTTGCCCCCGGACTTGGGGAAGTACCCCAAGTGCCTGTATTGGGTTGAGTACCCGTGGGACTTTAGGCCTGTGTTACCCCAAGGACACAGGGCCGTGAGACAGTCCATTCTTGGGGTGGTGGCGGCACGTTACCCCCAGACTAGCGAGTGTGCTCCGGGAGAGGGGTCGGCCAGACATAAGATGCCCCTAGGGAGGCATTCGGAGCCTGGAAGGTGGTTGGGCGCAGGGAGGTGGGTGGCTCAACGCAGGAGCACCCCCTACTGGCCCGCCTCACGTGGTGGAAACAGCGGAGGGATACGAATACCCAGCTGTGTTCCTGAGGTGGGATCTCTGCACCCGCCACAGGCAGTGCCCTCAGGATGCCATTGTCAGTAACTGTGCTCTGTGCCCTTATAGGTGGCAAAGATGGGTCGGCGAGCTCGCCAGGATTCCTTTCCAGATGAAAATCATCTCAGCAGGAAGAATTCCTCTACAACTTCGATAGGCGAGGTGGGTGCCCAGGGGCTGGACCATGTGCCTGCAGTATAGGCTGCACCTAAAACCTGATGCCATCCCCATTAGAAAGTTCTTCATATCTTGTAGGATCTTGTTGGATCTTGTCTCAGCCCCTGTGCTGTGAGATGTGCTCTTACAGCTAGAGTCTAAAGCACCATTGTTTCCTGCTGAAAGTGCTTTCCAGTGTCTTAGTGCTGTGCTGGCCTCTCCAAAATGGAGAATTGTACAGGGGATTAGATATGAGGCCATGATTTTCTGACAGAGACATGCCTGCATGGGAGTTCAGAACAGGAGGGTATGGGGGACCCCGGACCTGTTGGGGGGAAAAGAGGGGTGAATGCAGCTGTTGCCTTGAGTGCTTTTTCCCCTGTTGTGGATTCTCTCCTTTGTACACTTATCTCATGCTTGCAAGATCAGATTGTCTTAGCTACCCGTGTCCATAGGGCTGTGTCTGTATCCTAGATGCCATTGCATGCTCCCCAGTGGGAGTGCTGAAGAATCTGAACAGGCACAGGCACCTGTCAGCTCCTTTTTACCCTCAATTGTAGCAAGACAGAAGTCTTGGCAGCATCTACTCTTTCTCTACTCACTGTACATGTTAGAACCATAGTGTTTTATAATTGCCCGCTGGTTAAAAAAAAAAAAGAAAGAAAAGAGCCTTTTTTCCTTGGATAAGCTTTCATTAGGTTAGACCCCTTCTGCCTATAAAGGGGAACTAGTTTCATGACAGAAATTAAATCAGCAGGATTTAAGAACTACCCTTGTGATGCTTTGATGCTTGTTAATGACAGACATCTTCCCCACTCCCCCCCAGTGCCTATTTTGCCTGGGAGAAGGAGGCATCCCAGAGCAAGGTTCTGCCCATTGCTTCCTTCAGGCTCATTCAGAGTGAAGGGAAGCTGGCCTGGAGTTCCTTAACTTTTTGAAAGAATGATAGTTTCCTCAGCAGCCAGCAGGGAGGTTATGCCAGAGCCTCATCCCTTTCTGGTCCGTCTTTTTGTTAGTACTCTGATGAGCTGAGATTTCATCCTGTGTTCCAGTTTTCATTTATCTGACAGGGGCAGAGCAGAGCACTGCTCCAGAAAAGAGCCATATCCCTGGTTGCTGTCCCTGGCACCTTGCATACAGACAATAGTACAAATCACTAGACTTGTGACTTGTCTTGAATCATTTGTTTAATGGCTATAAAGACATTATTTAAAGGCCCCTTTAGGTACTTGATACTGCCCTTCAAGACAGTGTGTGCAGTGTCCTTTAAAGTCAAGACACTGCTCTACCCTTGGTACTAGCTGTGATGTTTTGGTAACTAGGCTGTCTATGCCAGATGCCTCTGTACTCGGGAGCCCAGCACTTTCCACCATGATACTTACTGCTTCTGTGGTACCTAGATCATACGTGGTACCAAGTAACTTGTTAGTCGGCTTGGTAGCACAGTAAATTCTCCTCAAGAGATTTTAGTGGATGATATCCAAATTGCTGGGTTTAAGGAGGTATCTTTGGTATGGACTTTAATGGTATCCTTAGACCGGTCACACCTAATAGAACCACACTATCTTTGAAGAAAGTATAGTCTTTTCTGCTGAGCAAAGTAGAGGTTCATTTCACACCTTACCCTCACTGGGAGCTCATAAGAAGTAGATTTGCAATTCTACGGAGGAGTCTACAAAAGGTTTGTGGAAAGAAACCTAATGGTCTGCCTCCAGTATGTGTCCCTTATTAAGTACTCTCTGTTTCCAGTTATGACCGTAGTCGGCAAATTGATTTGTTTAGTACTACTTCGGTATCTGTAATATCTAGGCCCAGGTCACCTTCCACAAAGCTGTATCCAACTGGTGCAGTTGCCCAGGCAGGAGGAGCAGATTGAAGAAGAGCATCAACTGATCCCTTCTTCAGTTTCCTCATCCTGCTAAGATGAAGCTATGGTTCCACCTGTATCTGCCTTGATGACTAATTCAAGTTGTTGCAAGGTGTTATTAGAAAGTGCATGGCAGAAATATGGGTATATCCTTAGAGGAAGTTTAAAAGAAACGCACAGATTATTGGACATTTTGAATGCTGTTTCTGAAGATGTAGTAAGCCTCCTCCTAAATAAGGGTCTGCAAACCCCACAAGGGAGCCTGCACAAAGAATGTGGCATGTCCTAGATGCATTAGAAATAGCTGGTAGGAGGTGCCAGCCCAATGCTAAATGATTTGATGTCCAACACTAGGGCTGCTGTTCAAGAGGTCAGAACATCAGGCATCTCTTAAGTTTGCACAGAAAGATTTGGACAAATTCGACTTAATCAGTTACAAGAATCATTTTCTAGTACAGCGTTTCCCAACCTTTTTAACCACATGACTCACTCACATGGTTTCTCCTGC